AGAGCTGCGATAAACCATCCCATTTCAGTAAGAAAGTTAAATCATTGGCATGCTAACTCTGAAATGAGGAAAATTCTAGGTTTTGCATTTAAGAATGGAAGGTATGTCAAACTAGAGAAATTAGGGTAAGACAAGCCTGTTTCTGACTCAGAAACTGAGTCAGTTAGCATGGTAGGTTTCTCTATGAACTAGCCCTGGTGTAAAGCATATTTTCTTTGGTAAACCTAAAGTTTCTTTTGGTTCTCTTTTTTTATAGTGAAAGGGATGTTCAAGTTTTTTTTTAGAAAATGAATTATGCATTTAGTCTTGTGTAATGGAAATTCATTTTTAGATGAGCTTTATATGTTAGAAACTTGTCTAAGACTCATTATTACATGTGTGTGTATCTGTGTTCTCCATATGTTCATCATAAAACCTATGTGTACATTTTTTATAGATAACTATATTTCTTTAGGTGAAAGCTTTTTCATTATCCTAAGAAGGATGTGTGGTTGTTATGAGCATATCGCACGAACAGCAGAAGACGCCTGACGTAATTGTAGATAAGGCCTTATTGGGAGTTGACCTCGTAAGCAGTACAAACCAGATAAAAGGGTGAACACACTTGGCTTTAGTATCTCACTCTGCAGAAACTGTTGTTGCTGTATGACTGTGATCTTCTTTATAAAGAATAAAACTTGTAAAAGACATCCCGGGTAAGACTTTGTTTCTTGACCACTGAGAGAGCCTCCTTAGAGAAAATAGCCACTACATCTTGTTTTGGAGAAATTTAAGTAAAAAGGAAAATAGAAAACAAGATTAATATGAATGTCTATTAATAAGCACTCCTAAACAATAAGAATTATTATTGTTTGCCATTTTAACCTATTACTTATTCTCTTTTCACCTATGATGTTATAGCAGTGATAAGAAAGATTAACCTTGCATTGACAGCAAACATCCTTATGTTAAGTGCTGTTATGTCCATGGTGAATCATAATATTAGAGCTTTGTTGATCTAGATAAAAGACCTATTTTTTTAGTAAAGCATGCACACAATGTGACACATATCGGTATGATGCAGGAGTGTGCTTTATGCAGGTCAGTGAGCTTGACAACCACATGTAGGACACACTCCTCCTGTCTTAATGCACCAGACACTTTGTTAGAATTACTCTGTTTGCTTATATTGCTACAATTTTCAATTAAAGCACTTCATTTTCACATTGATATTTAATATTTCTTGTTTAAATATACTATGAACAACAGCTACACAAATAATTTTCTTTATTCTCTATTTTCACCTATTTTAATATGGTGTATCTTGTAGCCTTATATTCATGTTTGGTATTATTTTAAATGTCTCTGTGTGATTGGTAAAGTGGTCTTAATCTTTCTGTAATATTTCACTTGTATATGTTAATTTGGGTTTTGGCTTTGGCTTTAGTAAGATCTTTAGAACTCATTACCAGGCAAGGGAGCTTTTGTTGTCGTGAGTTTATGAGTTTATGATTGTTCTGAGTTTAGTAAATAAGGTAATAGTGTGACAAATATCATTGGGTTGCAGCATCTCTGAGACTTATGCTGCAACATACTTCTCTGGTCAGTTAAGCATCTCCAACTCTTTAATTTATCTTTGAGTAATGGATGTTGTATTTTTACAGTATCATCTCTTAATTGGCTTTCTGATGGTTTTATTATGTAATTGGCAGAAAACAATTTTACCTGACAAATAAAATGTTAAGTTTTGATTTATTCTGAATTCTCATGAAATCTTTTTATATCCAGTATATTATATTAAGTGGAGTCTGCGCTATATGATTCAACATAGTTAGATTTGATTAATAGATGCATTGGACTGAACGAAGCCATTTTGGCAAGACAGCATGAAGATCTTTTCATCATCTAATCATTAAAATTAGCAAGTTGGGCTTGGCTAAATAGACTATTCTTTTAGGATGAGTGAGCAGTTCACAAGTAACTTCAAAGTGTCGACATACTGTCCGTGAGAAAACACGCAATCCCAAGGTGTGAAACTCTGAGCGGCGTTTGGTCCCTTATAAACGTATAACTGAAGAGTATGGGAACAGATTTAAATCAAAACTCTAAATTAGGTCATAAATTATGAATGTCATCCGTTCTTACAATTAGAAATACAGTATAAATTTTACGATTACTTAAAATTGGAGTCAGATCAAATTTGGAGCTAAAAAACAAGTATAAATAAATTCTGATAAATAACACAATTCTTTTCAGAAGCACTAGAAAAGGCTTACATGCAGTTAACCTTCGACCATGCAGTTAGTTTTGTCATTGGGCTAATAGATGGACTTCTACAGGATAAATGGTTATCCCAACTGAGCCTGGTTTCTCTCAAGGTATTTTCTTTCACTTTTGTCAATTGGTGAAGTTTTGTTCCTCGCTGCTGTGGCCTCAGGCTTGCTTAGTTTGGGACTTGTGGAGCTGCGGATGGATTTGCTCTTCAGCGTTTGGACTTTCAGCAGTGAAATTTAAACCACACAGAAATGAACTAAACTTCAACTCTGAAATCTAAACTGACAGTTTCAATTTACTTGAACTTCTATGTTAAGCTGCTTTGGCACAGTCTCTATTGTAAAAGCACTAGAGAAATAAACATGAATTAAATTGAATTATGTTGATAGTAGCTCTAATGCGAGCCAACCTATTGAGAATTGAATGAATTATCATAATTCAACCAAAAACTCCCCATGCCAGTTTTTCCCCATCTCAGGCTAAATTAATTCAGAATTTAAGTTTTAACTCACAGCTGGTGGAATCTAATAATTGAAACAGGCCTCAGGTCAACCATAACTGTTCAAATCACACACATACAGCTGGAAGGGCATGCACTGTGTAAAACATATGCTGAATAAGTTGGCGGATCATTCCACTGTGGTGACCCCTGATGAATAAAGGAACTAAGCCGAAGGAAAATGAATAAATAGATGAATTTATATTTACCCACACCAGTAGCTCCTCACAGTAGAAATGGGGCAGCCACCAAACGCCATCAAAACTAATAAATATGCCCTTGAATAACATTTTGAATTGCTCAACAGTAGTATATTTTGTTTTTCTATTACTGGTCTTTTTTTCCATGTATAGTAGGCAAAAACACAAGCCCCGAGATTCAGTATATAGTGACAAAAACAAAGTCAATAAGTTCACTAAAAAGTACAAATTAAATGACATTTTAGTCAAAGAATATATATATATATTTTTAACAGATAACTCAAGCAAATCCACAGCCAGCATCCGTGAGCAACACTTTTACTTCTATCTGAATAAATCGGCACTTTTAAAAGAATCATTATGACTCCACAAGTCACTCAAAAAATCAACATAGCTTTGATATATTAAACTTTAGGACTGTCATTTGAACAGAATATTTAGTCTCCCTATACAGTACCTCTATGGGGGATTCGAGAGAGGTTAAAACCGGGCAACTCAACTATGACAGAAAGCCACCCACATGTTTGTGTATTTTCTAGCATTTCACTCATACGTATGCCATAAAAGTGTTTGACTTGACCCATGATGTATGCGTTTCTTGATTTAAACACCTTTTTTAACATTTTTTTTGACAATATTTACACACTGTAAAACCCAACAGTCAACTTTTTCAAATGAAATGAGTGTAGTCAACTCAAAACTTACTGAAAGTTAATTCTACTTTTTTGAAACTGTAAAAGGAACGAGTTAATTAAATACCTCATTACTGTAACATTACTCATATGCAACTTAAATGGAGGAAGTTCACAGTACTCGTATAGATTCGTTTTTTTAACTCAAATAGTTTGTAGTAATTGGTTTCCTCAAATGGTTTGAGTTGCCTTAACCCATCAGTGCATTTTCAAAGCAATCCTATAAAAAAAATTTCCTAGATGTTCAGCAGATTTTAAATAACACTGCTAAAGAGGCAGAGCCTACTGCTGAGGGATGCCTGGACAGTGCAGATTGATGCATCTGGTTGTATTGCCAAGAACTGGAATACCCACAAACACTTTTAATTGCTCAACAGTGGTAGATTTATTTTACTATTAATAAGTAGGCAAACATACAAGCAAACGTTCAGTAAATCAATCAGTAATTCACCTTTAAAAAAGATTTCTAAAAAGATTTTAAAAGATTCAAAAATTCAAAAATAAAAATAAAAAATCTAAAACGACATTATATATACTTTTGAACGTGCATGATATAAACAGCATAGCATGGTGGTGTTTTGAAAAAACTGTACACCTGACTTTCTCTACAGCTGTTAAAGAAACCCACCTGTTCCCACCTACTTTTTGTGTACAACTAAACAAGAAGGACCTCTACTGGAAATAAATGTACATAACTATTTAAGGTAAACACCAAAATGAATTCTTTAAAATGAATTATTATGCATAGATCACTAATATCTTTGCAAGATTATAGATGTATTTTCTCTTGTTTGTAGTCTCAACTCAAGTCTAATTTTTCAGTTTGAAGCCTCGTTGGTTCTTCACTTACTCAGTATTCATCATAGCAGATTTCATAAATGTTATCATCAGATTTGTTTGCCATGGTTTAATTCTCTTTAATATCCAATAATCAATAATATATCAATCAATAATTGATATAATCTTCTTCAGAGTCATCCAAATCCACATTAATATACAAATCCACATTAATATAGTCCTGTTCTGCATCATCAGCATCATGATCATCATCATCCACAATCTCATAATCTTCTTCAGAAACTTCATGCTTCATGTTTTCATCACATTCTGGATTTTCATAATCAGGCTCATCATCATCATCATCATCATCATTATCATCATCTTTCTCATCATCATTACATGTGCTATCATGGGATCCACCTGCAATTTTATTAACTGGACCTAGTAGCATTGTACATATAGGAAGGCACATACAATAATTATTAAGTATAGTGTCAAAACACTAAAATTGTTCAAATGCAACTGATCACTATTATTAAAATACCTTTTTTAAAAGAGAACTTAGAACGATCTTCTTTCTTCTTCTGTCTCCTCTTAAGAAACAGGACGATGATGAGGACGGTCAGTAAGAGCAGTCCAGCTGAAAGTGCAGCACCAATGACAGCAGACAGCAGAGACGCTGAGAGAGAAACACACATAGCTTGAGTTCAGCTTTCATTAGCAGCAGTCCAGCTTGTGTTCAGACTCGTACACATCAGTACCTGTGATAGTGATGAGCAGCAGTTCAGAGGCAGAGGAACGGAAGGAGCGTGAGGAGACACTGACTTCATAAACACAACTGTAGATTCCCTCATCTGAATAATCTGCCTCAGGAAAGGAGAAGGAGGCAGAGATACTGACAGACCGTTGAATCCTGTGAATATTTGATTCTCTGAACAGGAAGAAAGAGCCTCCAGGATACTAAGAATTAATGGAACAGGTGATAGTGAAACTGTGGCCTCTGGTGATCACTGGCCCCTGAGGGCCCACGACAAACCCTCCATCAGGAGTACTGGGAGAAATACTGGGCTGCTGCAAGTGCACTAGATAACAAGAAACATACACTGATGTGGTTACAGAACCTCAGGCATTAGATTCAAACTGCTTTAGAAAAAGTTACAATAATTTTATGAACTGCATTTTATAAGAATTACATTTAATCCACAAATATAAAAAAAAAATCTTCTACACAAAATCCAAAATTAATAAATACATAATGATTCTGTAGGTCTATGAATCTGTATGTATCTGTAGGCAGTGGGAGAAGACTCGACACACTCACCCACAGTGATGGTCACAGTGCTACTCAATGTTGATTTAAGGCTCCTCTGGTAAGAGTATTGACAGCTGTATTCACCCTGATGCGAGACGTCGACATTAAGGCTGAAAGTCACATTTGACACATGTGTCTGTGAGGATAAAGATGATCCATTTATGAAGAGCTGGAATTCAGCATTAGCACTGCATCTCGGTTTAGGTGTTGAGCATCTGAACTGGACGTTTTCTCCAGGAGAAACAACTGAATGTGTGGAGATCAGAGCAAGACTCGCCATCTGCAGCTCACCAGCTAAACAAATATGCATTTATTTAAAACAACTAGTGTCATGCAAACATGAAATTCATAAAACCTAATCTAATTCCTAATTGTTAAAAACAATGTATTAGAATGCTAAAGACTCGACTTACCTTTACCGTAACAAACAACACCAGCATCTTCACCGTGATTACAGTTATGTTTTCCTAGTCCATTGTGTGAACACTGAATGAGACTTTCTTCACTTCCTGTACAGTTAACCTCGTCCAGCCAGATTGATCCACTGCCTGGACCAAATGCAGCACTATCAGGTGCACTGATGGCTGATCCACACTGTAACTGTCTGCACACCACAGCAGCATCATTCATGTCCCAGTCATCATCACACACGGTTCCCCACACACCATTATACAGGATCTCCACTCTCCAAGAATGAAACCCACTGACCAATCTAATGTCTGACAGTTGCACAAAATAATAAACACAATGTGATTAGAATCTATATTTGGCTACTATTTTATATATAATCCTATTAATATTTATTAATATATAATACTAATAATATTTATATACTGTATATATATGAACCAAGCAAAAATATTAAATGGAACTAATTTAGTAACATTTAATATTTTTGCTTGTTTCACGAAGCAAGTAATATATGTTTTCAAAATACTTATCACTTGAATTAATAAGACAATAAATTTTTCAAATAACAGAGAGAGAGAAAAATACTACATGAAACTAAAGGTGATGACAACAAAATATAGCAACATAATTTTGGATCTGGACAAAACAAACATGATTTTACCCTTTAAGCAGACAACTCCTGCATCTTCAAAATGTCTAGAGTTATTTACTTCAAAACCATGATGTGAGCAGTCTCTAAGGGAGGATTCATTTCCTGAACATCTCACATTATTTAACCAGATCGGACCACTTCCCCGGCCAAAAGAAACATTATTTGGTGCACTAACTGCTCCTCCACATCCCATCTGTCTGCACACCACAGCAGCATCATTCATGTCCCAGTCATCATCACACACGGTTCCCCACGTGCCATTATAAAGGATTTCCACTCTACCAGAGCAGTCATTATTACCATTCACCAGTCTGAGAGAAAATCCTAATAAAAATGCATGATAAAATGTTAAATAATAAAATTAAAAAGTAACATGCTTAACTTGTATAGACAATTTTAAAAAGTCCATTTCAAATCATGTAGTTTAAAAAAAAAAAAAATTCCAATACTTACCAGTCACAGAAGTTAGAGCACTCGCTGTTGGGATAAAAACAGACATTTGAAAAATTGCAGAATTACAATTAGATTTGTAACACAAATTTGTAGATTTGTGTTAGATTTAGCACACATCATAATCTAATAACTATATGTAAAAACATTTTCTCAAAATGTAATAAAATAATGATCTTAAATTTTAATAATTATTATAACAATATGAAAAATGCTTTACATTATAAACTCACCAATTGTCGCATTGTTGTACGAGTCTAAATTAAGTGTGTGCTAATAACACACTTAGTGAACTAACTGCATTGTTAATACAAGGCCTGCCACTGTTAACTTCCTTATGGGTTAGCATCTTAATAGCAAAAAAAGTTAGTAATTGCTGATCCTGTTTGCATTTCAAAATTTGTTATATTTGTGTTTGAGATTATAGAAGCCACAGATGCATTCTAGGCTGCATGTCATGTATAAAAAGGAATTAACAGTATGCTAATATTAAATTTAAGGTACTTGTGTTTCCTATGTCAGATGAGTTTCATCTCCTAGAAGTAGAAAACTCTGCTATTCTCAACCTTGTGGTTCCAGGATAATAATTACATTAACTATGAACATGCTTTCTTACAGGATTCAGCCTTGAACATTGCACTTGATCATGCTCTTTAAAAAAAAAAAAACTTAATTTGAAAGTATTTTGAGCCAGATCACAATCACATCTATGTACATTTGCCTTGATCCGGGCCAAAGCACACTTGTCCCCTCTCCCGTCTCCCCTGATGGCCCGCACTCACATTACAATCGGGCCTGGACACGCTTACGTCATTGATGCTGCGCTGTTCAGTAAGTGCTATCGCTCAGCACAGTGGAGAGTTCTTTAGTTATATCGTTTAATATGCAGTGACATGCAGTCAAATTTTTCTCAGAACAGATCAGCCACTTTTGACGCTCATAAACCATTATATAGTCCTTGTGCTGCAGGAATTAGGAGGTTTGCTGAAGATGAGCAGCCATCATGCAGTGAGGGGTTTGCGTCTTTAATAAACTATGGCAGTTTGTGTTCATTGAACAGTGAGATTAATAAATCCATATGAAAAACACAAGCGTACGTTGCCAAAGCCCAAGTGAAACGCCCGATTCAGAGCACTCACACGATCCGGGAAATGGGCTTGGGCACGGTTCGGATAGCATAGTGTGAGTAGTCCCTCATACTCAAATTCCATGCTGGCTTCTTGTTACAAGACGTAAATTTGTCGTAAAATTTCCACACTTTTTTTAGGGGCATGTTTACACAAAACATAGCTTCAGCTGAAATGCTGCGCACTTTAAACATTTCAAATCTTCACACACACAGTCAAATTCACAATTTGTCTGACACTGCTTCGTATAGATTTTGCATGTTATTTAAAGTCTTTTCAATCAGACTTTATCATAACTATAGATTTTTCATCTTGTTTTGTTAATTTGGGTTGTTTTAATTTTTTAACCAGTTACTTATTTGTTTCAATAAGTTATATCAAAATGTAAATTAAGATTTTAAATCCAAAATGCTAAAATATTGTTGCTTTTGTAACATTCTTGACATCTCTACAACAAATATTAATTGTGTTCACTTTTTATTTAATCCATTTGAATGCAATTGTGATTGTCTTTGAACATTGATTTGTTTAATTTACTTGGTTACACTGAATATTTTGCTGATACTCTAAACCAACTACTGTTGATTTTGTTGTAAAGCAATTTAATTTTGATGTTTCCAGATATTCTGTGAAGAGCTTGTTTCATCTTATTTTTGTCTTGATCTTGACCATATTTTTTTATTACATTAATTAAAGGGCATTTTGCTTGAGAAGAACTCAAATTGACCATATTCCCTTTGATTGTCACGGTTTGTAGAGGGACGGAGACAAAAGGTGTAGGATCCAAATGCAGTTTTAATAAGATCGTGCAGATAACAGAAAAACAAGATATCCAAAAAAAAAAAAAAAAAAAAAAAAAAATCAAAGTAACAAACAAACAAACAAAACAAAGAACTATGGCAGATAACAAGAACAAGGCTCAGGAACAACATATCAACTTTAACAAGACTTACTAGACTAGGAAGATGAGAAAGACGAACGACTCAGTAACAAACAAACGGGTGCAGAGTGGATAAATAGTCCAGGAAATCAAAGGGAAATGGAGACAGCTGGGAATGCAATCAGTGTAAATGGAAGCCGGGTGTGTGCACGAGGTATGTATGAACTTGTTGTCTTTTGGGATAATGTAGTTCGCTTCTGAAATTTGTTTGCGAACTACAGTGCCATTTAGTGGTCCAAGACAGTCATGACATTGATCAATGACAAATGCCATGTGTTTGCTTTTGCAGTTTGTTGTGCTATTTGCTGTTTTGAAATACAGGATCCAAGGAGAAAAGGTTCACGTCTTCTGATCTACTTCAAGAGAAGAGCAGGAATTCCCTGCATTCCTCAGCACCTATTCTTGTGGGGGTATGAAGGACAATTTGCATAAAAGCAGTGCAACACCATTCGATTAAAGCATCTCACACAGGGCTAAACGACAACAAAGACTGATCAACCTCATACCTGCAACCAGCCTGGACAGGAAGTCCAAAGATGACAGCAGCACACATCACAAAGTATATTTTCATTATTAATGTCACCTTTTCCCTTTTTATGTGTCACAACGGTGCCAGGGGAGGATTGTAAGAGTCTAAAATATCATATGCATTTGCTTGCATGATCTTTTTAACCGAAGAAGGCTCACACAAATTCCAAAGACAGATACTGATTAGGTCAGGGCCTGGTGTGTGGACTTTGGGGGTCTTACGATGTGGTCACATGTTGATTGGTCAGTTTGGATGTCTTAGTATTTGGGCTTTGGTCACATGGTCAAGAAAGAGACAAAATAGCTGGTAAACTTTGCTCTGCCTCTTTTCCTGGCCTGTCTTTTCCTGGTCTGCGATCTCCTGCTATGCTCCTTTCTTCCTTTAGAGTCTATCTTCTCTGCCTCTTTGAGGCCTACTTACTCTCTTTGTCTCTTGTATCAAATGTTTTATCATTTAATATTTTTTCATTTTTTACAGTTATTTTGCAATAAATTCAGTTGTAACCATAGAGAATTACTGTCATTAAATCATTTCATTTTCAAGTATTTGAATTACTTTTGATTTAACATCAACACCTTATTGCTCCATATTACAATACAATACAATCACATTATATCAACGCTCACCCACATTTTAAGCTATTATTACTGACCTTATTTCAGTTTTTGTATAAGATTGCAGAAGAATGGTTTGACTAGAAATATACAGTTTTTTACCATCAATACTGATAATTTTTTAGTCATTCGGCAGAACTACAGTTCGAACCACTGTGGTTAAAACCCATTCTTACATCGTCAACTAATGTTTTAATCCTAAAAAGATTTAAACGTTTAAATTCATATCCATATGAAGTGGGTTAGCATAGCCTAGCTACATGCTAAAACATGATAAGCATGCTAGTAACATTTGATTTAAGTCATAGCATTTGATTTCATACTAAAATATTCTAAATGTTATGTTCATTTGATTAGCATGTTACATGTTAATGGTGTTAGCATCATTTTAGCTTCATGGTAATTGTTTTAACATAATGCTAGCAATATGTTCATCTAGTAAGAACCATGCAAGCACCATACTGCAGAGGCACTTAAAAGATAAATCCTTTATTAGGTTTCAAGAGTGTTAAATTGTTGCTAGGGCATGATGACCCAGAAACACTGATTGGTTGAGTCAAAT